AAAAAACTACATTGCTCAACGCTGCAAAAACACGTTGAAATAGAAACCAATCTCCAGAGCGCAAACCATGGCGCACTGGCAAATGGCAAATCTGCAATGAAGTGCCATTAATACACCTTTAAGTGAGGGTGCTATTGATTTCGTTTGAAGGTGCTTAGCACTGAGGCTGAGCAGGCGGAGCCGAAGACCACAGCTGCGCAGCTGAGGACCAAAAGGACGGAGCTGGTGGGGCTGAAGAGCACCAGAGCAGAGCTGAGGACCACCACAGCTGAGCAGATGGGACCGAAGATCCCCACGGTGGAGCTGATGGTGCTGAGGACCACTCTGCAGCCGTAACAGGACAGGCAGACAGTTCAGAGATGGCATCTTTGGCTGTGACAGGACAGACGAAAAACACAGAGATGGCCTCCTTGTCCGGGACAGGACAGGCGAAGAGCTCAGAGATGGTCTCCTTGTCCGGGACAGGACAGGCGAAAAACACAGAGATGGCCTCCTTGTCCGGGACAGGACAGGCAAAGAGCTCAGAGATGGCCTCCTTGTCCGGGACAGGACAGGCGAAGAGCTCAGAGATGGTCTCCTTGTCCAGGACAGGACAGGCGAAAAACACAGAGATGGCCTCCTTGTCTGGGACAGGACAGGCGAAAAACACAGAGATGGCCATTAAGGGGAACACTGAGGATAGGGGAACAGCCTCTATGACAGTCAGTACTGAGACCCTTGGAATGCCAGCTGCTCTGGCCGAATCCAGCAGTGGGTCCGCCAAACTGGAAATCAGCCCCAAATGTCTTTGGTCATGAGGGCTGAAGACTGTGGCGGGACATCCATGACAGCTGTATGAGGCTCTGGATTTGTGGCCATGTTGTGAACTGGGACCACAAGAAAGGAAGGTGCATAATTACTGGACATGGTGGTGGTCTTGATGAGCCAGGCTCTGCAGCTACCGCAGCTTGGTGTGTCCTGCGCCCCCAACCCCCCTAAAAAAATGTTTAGGGGAAACATACTCCTCGACAGCCCCAACAGTGAGGGATCCAGAAACTGAAAAGGCGACCCTCGAGAGGACCATCTCGCATGAGTATCGACTTCAATGGTTCATTAAGTGCATTTACAGAAAAAGTAAATGAGTGCAAAGTCCGGGAGATCAGATAGATATGCAATGTCCAGAAAGTCTTGAATGTGGTCCTTCGAGGGAATGCATTCCCTGACGGAGGCAAACTAACCTGATTGCAGGGTCCATGATTGGCCTGGAAACACTAAAAAAGCCACTGGATCCGGGAATGGCTGAGTCTTCTGTTACGGGCGGCGTGACAATGGAGTAGGGATGGGGTGAGAAGGTGAAGGTAAGGGATGGAGTGCCCTCTAGAGGAGCTCATGGGCACTCCAGCTGGAGATTGTGACAGATATAATGCAAGTCAGCGGCTGCATGTTTTTGACAATAAAAATAAAGCAAATCAGGAAACACAAAATGAATACCCGTGACTCCTGACAATATATTGAGGTCTTATGAAGCGAAACGATCTGTCTGTACAAGAAATTGAAAATTTTTTACAACATTATTACTGGTAATCCAAACACCCAGGCAACGTGGAAATCCAATTCTTTCAGACAGTTGTTTTCAGTGAACCGGTTAAATTCACTAGTTCATCTTTTTTGCATAAACAATGAGAAACCACACAAACATAGTTATAAATAATGATCAATTTAATCATAGCTTTTGAGCTGATTTTTTGAGCAAATCTACTCAACCCAACAATAAGATTCCATTAATGTTCTTGAGCTGTTAGATGGACATTTGTTCTTAGCAGATGTTTTATCATCCAAACTATTTCCTAGAAAGTTTACATAATTAAGTGGCAAATACTAGAATCTGTAGCTCTAATGTGATATAATGAATATGAGAAGAATGAAGTATATGCTGTGAAAGTGCTGGATTGAGGTGAGTTGTGATCAGTCAAGTCAACAAGAGCCGTACAAATCTGATGTTCCTGCAGGTTATTGGGTGAAGTGTGGAGCTGATGTATTTTTATATCTGTTTTCTGTAGAGTTTCCAGTCTCTCTCAGCACCTTCTGAATCAACAGATGTAAATGATGATCCCTTTAGTTCTCTCTTCTCTTTTGATGACCTGAGAGAATCTGTCCATCAGCTGAGACAAAAACTGGAGGATTTCTGCAAAGAGGAGCTCAAGAAGATCTCAGACAGAGGCAAAGTCCTGGAGATTCATCTGCTCTCAGAAACGAGTCCATCATCATCTCATATCATGGAGAAATTCATATTAGAAATGTCTTAGGAATGGATGCATGATAATTTTTCCTTGACATGAGAATCACACTGTTCATGTCTGTTTATTTCCACAGTCACACTCACTAGGATCAGGAACAACATCCTACAATGTAAGTCAGTAAGAAAACAAGCAGAAAACTCATTGAGTGTGTTAATGTTCTTCCTGTAGAAGGTGAAAGAAGAGTTTTATAACTGAAGAATTAAATGATGATTTGCACAGGATATCTGGTCATCTGTACTGAGACACTGATGCAGGGCTCCAGACAAAAAAAATCAAGCAAGGAGCCATTGGCTCCTATAAGAAACAAAATTAGGCGCCAAATTAATTTTTTAGGTGCCACAGAATAAACATGTTTTATTTATTTATTTTTTAACACTTTAACATTTCAGTCGTACTTTCGTGTGTTTATGTCTTATCTTTTCTTGTCTTTATCAGCATTTTAATCCATCTTGTAGATGTCCTGGGAACTAAGGTACACTTAAAGTGGGAACTAAATGTCTTTTTCAACTTGAGAACTACAGTCGTAGAGAATTGTTTATTACACAGAATCTGTGCCAATATCATGGATCATAACTATGTCAGCATCACTTGGCCACTGAGTGTAGTTTGGACTCCTTCTCGATGCATCCTATATATGTTGTCATATGTCATTTAGTCGGTTTTCTTCATTAGTAACATGCAATTTTATAGGAGGTGTTAAACTTTATCTTCAGCTCCTTGCATTCTTTCTTATCATCAATTTAACAGGTTAAGTAAAACTATGAATATGCAATAGTGCATTAAATTAAGCAAAATGCTCCTCTTTATAGTTATTTTTCTAGCTGCTAAAGAGCTTACAGACGCTGAATGGTTATTCTGAGGTAAATGTATTGTTACGTGCCATTGTGTATAAGCTTTACATGTTTTCTGCATTTTGAAACACTGAATGAGCGATTACATGAGATATTTTTGTAAGTTGTTCTGTCTTATAGAAATACCTTATAAATTAGCCTACCTTTTGATGTTCATTCATGTTCATTTCCTACTACAATAGTAAAGAGAAATATATGATTGTTTTTTTTCACCTTTAACTGAGGCGCTAAAGAGATCACTCATGCCGTATTAAAGAGTGCCAGCACTGTATTTAATGTTTGAATTTCAATATAAATTTGAAGGAACTGCGTTTTGCAGGTCTTAACCTCAGCAAAAACAAATTAATATTTTTGGTCACAAATGGTTTAGTCACAGTCTGGAGCCCTGTGGTGATACACTGACCATAAAGAGTTCAGCTGCATGAAAAGATCAAACAGATTCATAATTCCTGATTCTGATGTGTTTTATCTCCATCAGATTCCCATCAGCTCACTCTGGATCCGAACACAGTGAATAAATACCTCCGTCTGTCTGAGAGCAACAGAGTGATTACTGGCACTAAAAAAGATCACCCGTATCCTGATCATTCAGACAGATTTGATTTTTGGCATCAGGTGTTGTGTAGTGAGAGTGTGTGTGGACGCTGTTACTGGGAGCTGGAGTGGAGTGGAGGTGAACATGGTGTGCGTATATCAGTGTCATATAAGAGCATCAGCAGGAAGGGACAGAGTAAGGCGTGTTTGTTTGGAAATAATGATCAGTCCTGGAGTTTGCACTGCAATCCCTCCAGATATTTATTCAGACACAATAACGTGTTGACTGATCTCCCTGTAAAGTCCATCAGCAGTAGAATAGGAGTGTTTGTGGATCACAGTGCAGGAACTCTGTCCTTCTACAGCGTCTCTGACACAATGAGCCTCATCCACACAGTCCAGACCACATTCACTCAGCCGCTCTATCCTGGGTTTTTGGTTTCTAGGGGATCAAGAGTGGAACTGTTGATGAATCAGAATAGAACTGATGAGGGATTCTACCCATAATACTTCGAGCTGCATGATAAATCAATAACAGAGATGTTATAGAGTCTCTTCTTTTCTCTTCATGACGTTAATACTGCAGATGAACTTCTGTCAGTGAAATAACATGTAAGAATAAATGTGTGTAATAAATCCTCATATAGACAGTAAGATCAGATGTGTTTCTGTACTTTTTATGTGTATCAGTGAAATTACTTTTCAATTCAAATGTTCAAAGTCAATAAATAATTTTCATTATTTACATTCTATAGCTCTGGCCCTCTTCAGTGTTTTGTGTTCTTCTGTGTTCCAGTGTCACAAGTCAGTGTTTTTAGTCGCACGTCCTGATTTTACTGAGTTAGATGTGTTCCTAGGTCAACATATTTTGTTGACTCTGAAACAACATTTTAATCCAAAAATAAAGTCTTGACCATATCCCTACACCTAAACCTAACCTTAACCATGAGTAATCCCTAAAATCAGAGGAAATGATAGATGAATGACGCTGACGTACAAGCACCAAACACTGATTGTAAGCCTAAACTTCACAAAAACTATAAACTGGTTCTTCAAATCTGATTGGTTAATCACAATGTTGTTCCAGGGTCAACAAGATGATCCAGGTAAAATCAGGTTCTGCGTTTTTTGTCATGCATTTAATTGTTAACCATGGAATTCATCTGTATTTGTGTGTGAGTGTGTTTTCTGCACACCTGTTCATCTTAATGTTCAGGTTTTGGAAGATTTTGTCATTTTCTTCCTGAATCTGAAGGGAGAATCCAGCTTCCTCTAATAGCACTGATCTAAAGGTTTATTTCAAGTTCTTTACAATGCCAGTGGGTTAATATTAGCTACAGGTGGTTGATGTTTTAGTTTCTGAGGGCTGTGTGGCACTTTATATTCAGCGAGCGAAGGTGCATTTGATTAAGGGGTAATACAGATAAACGGATAAATCCAGATGTAATACGGATAAAAAAATGATAAAGCTTGTCTTATTGAATATCAGGTCCCTTTCTACGAAAGCACTTTTGTAAACGATATGATCACTGATCATAACCTAGATGTGCTCTGTTTGACAGAAACCTGGCAAAAACCTGATGATTACATTATTTTAAACGGGTGTACCCCCCAAGATTACTGTTATAAACATGAGCCACATCCAAAAGGTAAAGGGGGAGGTATTGCTACAATTTATAACAATATTTTCAGTATTTCTCAGAGG